CCCCGGCCGCCGGAAACGCGAGAACAAGGCCAGCACGTACGGCCTCAACTACCTGCTGTCCGGCAGCCGCGCGGCCGCGCTGAGCGGAGGGGGCGGCCCCGGGGCCCAGGCGCCGCGACCCGGCACCCCGTGGAAGAGCCGCACGTACAGCTCGGGCATCCAGGGGTGAGTGCGCGGGCGGCCCTGCATGGGCCCCGGCTTTATTCCGAGCATGGATGTTGAGGGCCAAGATCCGATTTTACCCTGAAAGTTTGTCCTTTTTCTTAATTTTAAAGTCCTTTGTAAAGGAATGATTTGCCCAGATCCTAGAACTAACAGTGCAGGCAATGGGCCGCTGAATCCGACTTGTAGGTATTTATTTGCCTTTTCTCTTCTTGAGCCTGGAAAGGGAAATCGACACTTTCTCTCTTCTCCCTCCGGGTCAGATTAGTTAGAGAGTTCTTGTGGGGGGGGGGGCGGGGCGGGGCTTTTCAGTGTGGAATTTCACTTAAGTTAAATTGCAGAAAAATTTAGTGTTGCCAGGAATTCAGATTAAGTTGAAGGTAGATACCAACCTTTTTTTTTTTTTTTCTTGGAGAAAATTGTTTTAAAAGATATTAGGGTTTAGGTAGTGATACAATTTAACAGTCAGTGAATTTAGAGGTGATTTGGAAGGGTGATGTTCTATGTTATATTTTAATTTTGTGTTGAAATTGATGTAAAAAAGCATCACCTGCAGTTTTTAAAAACTAATAGAATTCGAAGAAAAAAAGTTTTGTTATATATATTCTATGAAAGCTGTTGTTTCATTTTAAATATTTCTGCGCCCATCTAGAGGAGATTAGAAGTTCTGTTTAAGTTGAGTGGACCTACAGAGGGCAAGGCACAACACAAAACATTACATTACCTGTTCGTGCCAGTGGTTTAGGTAGAGGTGTGTGGCGAGAGTTAAAAGTTGTCCCAGGTGAGGCTTTTTGGGCTCATGCTATTTGTGTGGTTCCTTTGCTTTCTGGTGCTTTTTCAAGTGTCTGGAAAGAGTTTGTTTGTAGGTTGTTTGTCAGTATTTCCAGACTTGATTCATGCTCCTTGTGTGGTATTTTGGTTGATTTTAAAAAAGTACTTAGGATCTTGGGGGAAGGGGTGAATATTAGGGTCTATACATACATTAGGGTTGTTACATTTGGTAGAATCCTACAAATACCCGCAATTGCTAGATATTGGGATTCCTTCTTACAGTAATTTTTTTTCTTAGGTCTCTTATTTCTTATTGGAAGTACCTTGGAAAACACTTAAGTTGATAATACTTTAAGCTTATGAGATACAGTATAACAAAGCTGCTTGTTCCATAACTTGTTTTACCTGGCTTGGCTTAGAAGTGTTACTTTTCTTAAATTCCTTGAAGCCTGTTGGTGCCCTGCAGACCCCCACAGAGGGCTCCTCTGCCCTCTCTCTCCGGTTCTCACTTGTAGAACTTTCTGAGGGTGTGTGGTGGGGCGAGTTTCTTCTTGATGCATGCTGCTCTGTACCTAAGGGCGCACTTGGGAGGAGCTTCAGGTTTCCAGCCTGTTATGTAACTGGAATGGACTCTGAGTGTCTCAGCACTAGGAAAAATAGGAAGGCACGTGGTCTCTGCTATAGCACGAGTTTGGGCCCCTGACAATCTGGAGTTGCACCACTGCTCTTGGTGAGCAGTGGTGCACCATGCCCTGCACACGTCACTTGGGCTGTTTCCTCATCTTAGTCTCATTGCTGCTTTTGTTAGTAAATGAGCCCACAGGGGACATGCTGGGGCCTGGGGTTCTGGAGCTAGGGCTTGGGGAGGCAGATGTGCCTTCTCCTGATCTTGACCCTGAAACCTGACCTTTCTTTGTGTCATCTGCCCAGTTGTGCAGATCTCCCTCCTCTCATCCTCTTTTGTGCCCCATTGACCCCGTGTGTTTCTCCATATCCCCTCCTCCTCAAGGCCTGTCATCCCTCTGGTGGAGACTGCACTGCAGCCACAGTGAGTGTCTTTCACACACTCAGGCCTGTTTGGGTCTCTTCCCAGCATGACCAGTGGATTGGTGGCCACTGCCAGCAGGTTCAATCAGGTCCCCCCACCCTCTGATGACACCCTTCCTGGTCCCTGATCCCCAGTTTCAAGACTGATGCCTCCAGAGCTCTGCTGCTCTGCTCCTGACCTGGTGCCCCCTTTTAGAAATCAGCTCAAAGACTGAATGGAGTAGGGCTTGAGCGTGAGCTCTGAGCCAGCCAGTAGCTCTGCTTTGGGCCCCACCTAAGCAGGGATGCTGCAGTAATGCTCTTCGAACCCTCCTTGCCTGTCTCTTGGTGGCATGTTCTGCACCTTCTGTGTGGCCCTCGTGACATCTGCTTCCTGCCATGTCTGCCTGGAAGAGGTGCCTGCTGGGGAGCCTGCTGTGTGCCTAGAAGGGCAGAGTGACTTATGTTTGGTCTCTACCCTGGCTAATGTTTCTGGAAAGGTGGAAGTAGTAGACCCATGCTTAGAGGAGGCAAAGCTCTCTGGTGAGGGTTCTCTTGTGGAGCTAATCCTTTGGCATCAACAGATATCTATCAGAACTTGCTTTTGGCCAGTTAGAACTTGCTTTTTGCTTACGCAGGTTGTTGGGGAGACCATCAGAGTTTTTCAGTTGTGTCTTAGAAAGGATGATAACTGAGGTAAGGGTGTGCCTGGCCAGTAACTCAGGACCCTGTTGGTGAGAAGCTGCTCAGAGTTCTTTTGTAGTCCCAGTACATGTGTTTCTTTCTGGAGAGACAAACGTCTGCAGTGCTTAAGGAGGCTAAGCAGTCCCTGGTGTGGGGCATCCACTGCCCCCTGTTGGGTCTTTGCCTGGTCCTGTGTGGTAACTGGCACTATTTGTCCTTTCCTGGGGAAGAGTTTTCTGCCCTTGAAAACTTCACCTGGTGGCCTGGCCTTGTGAGAGTGCTGGTGTACCTTTAGGTTCTAGTAGAACTTGAGAAAGGCAGGCAAATGAGGACAGAATTAGTGCAGTAACCTTCAGAAGAACAAGGGTGAAATGCTGGTTTGCAGCTGCCACTGGCTCTGGTTCTCAGTTTTTGATTGAACTCTCAAACCTTTGTTGTGGAAGCTATGCATAGTGTGAGAAGTGCTGTCCACCTGTGCTCCTCACCCGGACATGTGGGCAGGCATGTGGACAGGCTCTTGGACTCTCTGCCTTCCAACCCTAGTAGCGCTGCCCCTGACCTAGGAGTGCTTTTGGGCTGTTGTCACTTTGCCTTGGTGAGTCCCAATAGTTTTGGAAACACTGTCAGGTTAAAAGTCCTGCCTGAGAAGGGTGAGTGTGCATCCTAGGATACGTGGCCAAGTCCTTACAGTTGCGCTGCAGAGCCCTGGTGGACATTACATTCGGAGTGGGGCCTTGGGAGGGCTGTGTTGTCTCAGGTGTGCCTGCAGTGGACAGAGGTCACATGCGGCTTCCTCTCTGCAGGTCCTTTGATGGTATTTAATTAAGCGTTTCAATGTCTTCTATTTCCGGAAAGAAAGTTCTGTTGTCAGTTTGAAGTCTGAGCATTCATAGCCATGACCTGGGGTGTGAGTCTTTCCAACTCATGCATGTCTCTTCGCTTTTGTTTTTTTTGCAAAGGAGTCAGAGCTTAGAGGAGCAGCTAGGATCCCTCTTCTCCCTCCGTGTCAGCTTTTCTGGTCAGCTTTTCGCAAGTGGAGTGACGTGAACTTCCCCAGGGTTTCCCCATGAGATGCAAGTCCCCAGGGCTTCCCCATGAGATGCAAGTGGGAGGGCAAGGTGAAGCCCCAGCGTCGTCGGAGCCCTCACTCTAGGTGCCTTTCTCTCCTCCCCATGATGCACAGGAGAGTTATTGTGAGATCTGCCTGCAAGGGTGACAGTGGCACCCTTGGGACTTGTTTTCTTAGTTTATCTTCTGTGAGACCTCGTGGTATAAAGTTGCAGAGGTGGCAGGAAGGATCACACAGAAGCTCTGCTACATTTATGGAGCTAGCTGTTACTCAACCCTCCTGTCATTTATTAACCGCTGCTGAACCCCATCTGGTGTCCATAAAGTGAAATTGAAGCTCCAGCTCATGGTGCTGGCCGTGGTGGTGCTGAGCAGAACTATATGCCTGGCTGCTGGCCAACTCTGAAGAAGAGCTGCTGGGGGGGCATGACAGGCCCTTTGGAAAAAGATGTTTTGTTTTGTTTTGACACAGAGTCTCACTTTGACGCCCATGGTAGAGTGCTGTGGCATCACAGCTCACAGCAACCTCTAACTCCTGGGCTTAAGAGATTCTCTTGCCTCAGCCTCCTGAGTAGCTGGGACTACAGGCGCTTGCCACAACGCCTGGCTATTTTTTTGTTGCAGTTTGACCTGGGCCGGGTTTGAACTGGCCACCCTCGGTATATGGGGCCAGCGCCTTACTGAGCCACAGGTGCTGCCCGAAAAAGATGGGTTTTTATGGGGAGGGTCCTTTGGGAAAATGAGAGGCCTCAAATGTTTTTCAGAAGGCTCACATAATGCAAGGTAGAGGAGGGTACAGTGGGTCCTGTGTCACTATTTAAATTTTGATCCCTATTTTAAATGGATTCATGGTAAGTGGCCAGTGGGAGAAAGGATGACATTTATTCTTGAAAAATAAGTACTTTTTATTTCTTGGGAAGGTTACATGGCTTAGAATCTGATTTTGTAGTTGTGGAGTAAAAACGAGTTGGTTGTACTTAAAAAACAAAAACAAAACTTGAACTTCCCAAGTTTAGAAACTTAAAGTTGATGATGCAGCCATAAGGAGAGTTGGGTGGCCAGCCGCACCCTCTCAAAAGGCCACCCTCTGAGACAGGCACCTGAGTGAGGGCAAGCAGGTGATTTTGGGAGATGGGTGTCTGAGGCACTCAGGATGTGTGTCTGAGTGTGACAGTCAGGACACCTTCTCCTCTGATGCTGGAGACGTGCGCTGAGTAGTACAGTATCTTCTTGAGATTTCTATGCTATGCTAGTTTTCTGTTGCTGTGTAGCAACCACATACTCAGGTGGCTTAGAAGGACAGTCATTTACCTGCTCACAGTTTTTGTGGTTGGATCAGGGTTACTGTGCTGGGTTCTCTGCTCAGGCTATCCCAAGGCTGAGGCTAAGATGCTGCCTGGCTGTGTTCTCGGCTAGTGGTCAGGGCCCTCTCCCAAACATGTTCCTGTATTGGC